ATTATTTCCAATGGATGAAATTAAGGATTTACTCTTTTATTTCTGGTTAGGTTAGCCAAAGATTTATCTATTTTATTGACCTTTAAAAAAAAACAACTTTTTGAATGATTGATCTGTTTTATAATCCTTTTGTTTTCAATTTAATTTAAGTCTGCTCTATTTTGAGTTATTTCTTTTCTTCTTCTGGGTTTGGGGTTGGAATGTTCTCCCTTTTCCAGTTGCTTAAGATGTCCCTTTAAGTTGTTGAATTCCTCTCTTTCTGTTCTCTTGAGGAAGGCTTGCAGTGCTATAGATTGCCCTCTTAGGACTGTACTTGTGATATCCCAGAGGTTCTGGGAATTCGTGTCTTCATTATCATTTTATTCCAAAAAATGGTAATTTAGAGAAGGAAGGATTTTTTCCCAAGAATTTCTGTGAGACAAATATCTCCCTGATACCAAAGTCAGGAAAAGATCCAAAAAAGAGAGAAAACTACTGACTAACTTCATTAATGAATATTGATGCAAAGATATCCAACAAAATCCTATCAAAAACAAAACACCTACACATTAAAAAAATACACATAGTGATTAGTTGGACTATATCCCAGGGATGCAAGGTTGGGTCAGCATACAAGAATCTATAAATGTATTTCACCACATAAATAGAAGCACAAACAAAGATCGTGTAGTTTTGTCAATAGACACAGAGAAAGCATATGACTAAATTCAGCATCCTTTTGTTACAGAACACTTAAGAGGCATAGATAGCACATTTCTTAAACTGGTAGAAACCATCAGCCACAAACCCAAATCCAATATTGTATTTAATGGAGTAAAATTAAAAACATTTGCACTTAGAATTAGAACAAGTATCACTGCTACTATTCAACATAGTGTTGGAAGTAATAGCCAGTGCAGTCAGGCAAGAGAAGTCTATAAAAGGTATCCAAATGGGAACAGAGGAGGTCAAACTCTTGCTCTTTGTTGATGATATGATCTTATACTGGGAAAACTCCAGAGACTCAACCACAAGACACCTGGAAGAGACCAAGAAACAAAGTAATGTCTCAGGATATAAAATTAATGTTCACACATCAGTAAGCTTCATGTATACCAGTAACACTCAACTTGAGAATCAAATCAAAGACACAATACCCTTCACAATAGCTTCAAAGAAAATAAAATACTGGGAATATATTTAACAAAGAATGTGAAGGATCACTACAGAGACAACTATGGAACCCTGAAGAAAGAAGTAGCAGAAGACATTAACCAGTGGAAGAACATACCATGCTTGAGACTGCGAAAACTTAACATTGTTAAAATGACCATACTACTCAAACCAATCTACAGTTTTAATGAAATCCCCATTAAAGCACCAATGTCATACTTAGCCAAACTTGAAAGTTCTTCATTTCATACTGAACCATTAAAAAAGAAAAACCTGAATAGCCAATTCAATTCTATGTTGTAAAAAAAAAAAAAAAATTCTGAAGGCATCATGTTACCATACTTCAGATTATATGCCAAATCTACAATGATAAAAACAGCATTGTATTATCACCAAAATAGAGACATAAGTCTACAGATCAAAATAGAGAACCTAGAGATAAAACCAGCCACATATCACCATTTGTGTTTGATAAACTAAACAAAAGCATACAGTGGGGAAAAGAATCTCTATTTAATAAGTGGTATTGGGAGATCTGGTTAGCCACATGTAAAAGACTAAAACTAGACCCACACCTGTCACCACTTACAAAGACTGACTCATTCTGTACAAAAGATTTAAATCTAAGACACAAACATTAAAAACTCCAGAAAAAAATGTGGAGAAAACTGTTCATGATATTGACTTGGGAAAATATTTAAGGAAGAAGATTCCCACTGACAATTGCAGCAATTCCATAAATAACTGTGACCTGACCAAGCTAAAAACTTTCTGCACAGCTAAGGACACAACTAAAGCAAACAGACAACCTTCAGAATGGGAGAAGGTAACTACATGTTATGAATTTGACTCTAATAACTATAGTCTATAGATAACTCAAACTAATCAACAAGAAAAGAGAAAACAACCCCATTTATCACTGGGCAAGAGAAATGAACCAAAACTTCTCCCAAGAAAACATAAGAATGACCAAAAACACATGAAAAATGCTCATCATCCCTAATCATTAGAGAAATGCAAATCAAAACCACATTGAGATATCACCTAACCCTAATGAGGATAGCCCACACCACAAAGTCCCAAAAGTGGAGATGGTGACTAGGTTGTAGAGAGATAGAAATACTTATGCAGCATTTGTGTGATTGCTAACTAATATGGCCTTTTTGGAAAGAAGTGTGGAGAATCCTCAACGAACTAAAAGCAGACCTTTCATTGATCCCATCGTCCCATTCCTAGTTATCTACCCAGAAGAAAAAATATCATTTTACCCATAAGGACATTTGCACAAATGTTTATCACATCTCAATTACTATCACCAGAATGAATTCATATACTGTGGTGTATGTATAACATGAAGTACTATTCAGCCATAAAATATGGCTGAATATTTTGCCATATGGAGACCTTACATTTTTTGTATTTACCTGAATGAAATCAAAGAACAGTCTCCTTAGTAAATGTCTCAGGAATGGAAAAACAAGCATCCCATGTAGTCAACACTAATTTAAAGGTAGTAGATGAACAAACTACAGGGTCACAAATTCAAGAAGAGGAGGGGGGAAAGGTGGGAAGAGGCTCAGTAAGCCCCCACCTAATGGATACAATGTACGTATATATGGGATACCTGCTGTGTGAAGAACTCAAATACAACTTGTCTGTTTCCTAATAAATATAAATAATGTAACTTAATCATATATGCCTTTATAGCAATCTGAAATTATAAGAGTAAAGCTGCCACAACCATTTACAGTTTTAAAAATTAAGGAAACAAAACATCAATAAAATAATGCCACAGAGGAAAATATATAGCAAGACATCATTAGATACAAAATAAAAACTGAATACGATGCACATTTGTCTATGTAAAATCAATATGTAATCTAAACTAAAAGAATACAAAATATTGGAACCAACAACTTAAATTCTAGGTGCTTGATTAATTAAATGAGGTTGTATTCATACTACAAAATACATTTCTGCCATTAATTATTATCATTCAATTGTATGTTTGTAAACATGAAATGATGCCCACAGTATATTGTTAATTGAACTACACAGTATAACACACCCCAGGTATGATAATGTCACATTTTAATAAAAATGTGTGTGGTAAAAGAAGTGGAGTGTGTGTGTGTGTGGGGGGGGGTTAATGGTAAACCTCAGAAGGACTTAAATCTCGATCTTTATACTTTCCTATATCTGTTTAAAAATATTTTACAATGAATCATATTCCTTTTATGTTAGAAAAATACAGCATTCCATGAACTACAGATGTTGGTTGGGGGGGTGGGGGTGGACAAAAGGGAACACTTCTCCATTGCTGGTGAGAATGCAAACTAATACATTCCTTTTGGAAAGAAGTTTGGAGAACACTCAGGGATCTAAAAATTGACCTGCCAATGGATCCTACAATTCCTCTACTAGGAGTATATCCAAAAGACCAAAAATCACTTTGCAATATGATATTTGCACCAGATTATTCATAGCAGCTCAATTCATAATAGCCAAGTCATGGAAGAAGCCCAAGTGCCCATCGACCCATGAATAGATTAATAAACTGTGGTACATGTATACCATGGAATACTATTCAGCCTTAAAAAAGATGGAGACTTTACTTCTTTTATGTTTACATGAAGGGAACTGGAACATATTCTCTTGAGTAAAATATCTCAAGAATGAAGGAAAAAGTATCCAATGTACTCAGTACTTCTATGAAACCGACTTAGATTTACTCACACTTTCTTATGAAAGATAGAACACAAGTGTAGCTCAGGATGAAGGAGAGAAAGAAAGTGGGAAGGGAGGGGAGGGAGGAGGTTTGATAGAGGGAGGGTAAAAGGCAGGACCAAACCTATAGAGCATATTGCAAGGGTACAAGTCAAATCTGTCAAGTGTATAACATAAATGTCTTAACACAATAATCAAGTAAATGAGGCAAAAGCTATGTTGATTGGTTTGATGTAAGCATGTCAGATTGTATTAAAAAATCACCACATTGTACTCGACATATGCATAAATGTATTCATGATCTATGTGTATATTACTTAATAAAAAAAAGAAAAATACAACATTCCATTTCAAAAATGAATATAAACACATGCAAGAGTGGAGAAAATGCTTTCTTTTTTAAATTAAATGATAGCTGTGTACATTAATGCAATTATGGGGTACAGTGTGGTGTTTTCATATACAATTTGAAACATTTTCATCAAACTGGTTAACATAGCCTTTATGTCATTTTCTTAGTTATTGTGTTAAGACATTTATATTCTACTTTTAGAAAGATTCACTTGTACCCATGTAAGATAAATCATAGAGGTGATCCCTCCAATCACCCTCCCTCCACCCATTCACCCCCTCCCCTCCTCTCCCCCTACCCCCTCCCCATATTCTTAGGCTATAATTAGGTTATAGCTTTTATATGAAAGCTATAAATTAGTTTCATAATAGGGCTGTGTACATTGGATACTTTTTCTTCCATTCTTCTTGTTCTTAACGAGAAAATGCTTTCTATGAAGAGTGAGAGTTTGTGAGGGAACTGTGGAGAATAAATAATGAGAGTAAGCCTAATATTTAATGAGGCCTCATAATAAGCTATAAACATTTCCATAAATGTAATTTTATTTTCTCCACATGGTAACCTTTTGAAATACATATTAAAATCTCACTAAAGGGAAGTGACTTACTTGCCTAAGCACACAAATCAAGCAAGTGCTCATGTTAAACTTTAAACTAAGATTCCTTTTTGTTCCAAAGTCCTTCCATGCCCTTTCTTCTACTATGTCAAAAGTCATTTAAGATATCTTTCCCTATTCTGATTCCCTTGATTTCCACCTCCGCAAACTCACCAAGCATGTTGTTCTGAATCAGGTGTGTGACCGTCCCTGATATTTGCTCTTGCTCCTGGGGACTGGAGAATGGATTCCTTAGGCTGATTGAGGCCACATTGATGGACAGCTCTGAGAGGGAGTGTGGAGTTCATTGGCCATGAAGGGAAGGAGGAAGAAAGCATGTGTTTTCCTCTTTAAGCTCAATGAAATATATGAAAATTCAAGTTTATAAAGTAGGTAAGCCTTCTGCAGAGAGGCAAATCTTTTGCAAAGTGAGCTCCTATTCCCCTCTTAGTGGAGACTCCTATAATGTCAGAAAATCTTCCATAAGGTGAATCACACTTCTCTCCACTAAGATATTCCCTTTAGTAAGGTAACTTGGGCAGCCACACTGGGTCCTGCGCTTGGGAAAGAGATGTAGGGCAGTGAAGCTGACTCTTGTTTTCTAAAGATCATTTCAAAATTCTAGTCATTATTTATACCCCTAAAGGGCCTATGAACAGTGTCATTAGTGGGGCCATCTCTCAAGCATGGTTATCTTTGTAATCTGCGTCAGTTAAGTTGAGGCTCCACACCCTTCTAAAGGATATACCTACCCCTAACCCATTGTTTCATGCAAATCTAGATTTTTATAGAGACCTTTTGCTTAAACATGGGAACAGAGCCTGTTTGACTATGTTTACCACCTGAAAGCAGGGACAGAGAATTCTACAGGACTAATCTTAGACTGATATCTGAAAGTTACAGGAGCCTGTGCGTGTGTGTGTATTGGATGAGTGTGATTTATCATGTAGTTTAACCTATTGCCTGTCGTGGCTTCCCTGTAAAGTACTAGACTTCTCATCACAGGATGTGCACTAGTTGCCCTTGGATTAGCCTAGTTCAAGATTTTGATGAGGTAGGTTCAAACATTAGGAACAGTGGGCACATAAAGTGGAACTTTATTCCAACCTGACTTGAAAGATTTCACATCCTCTTGGACTTCTGGGGCTGCCTTCTGTACAATCTTGCTCTTCCCATCCTGAAGTTCTGAGAGCATAAAGGGACAGTGGCTCTTGGTCCAAGATGGAGAGTCTATGCAAAGATAAGAGAGTAGTTGGGTTGCCTTTTTAGCCATAAATTCAGTTCAATAATAATTACTGATATTTACTGTATCTTAAAGTCCTATCTCAGGCTATGGTACAGAAATAGAGATACACATGGATGAGTCTGGTGTCTGTGCTAGGGGAGCTTCTAAGCTGATGAGAATGGCAATTGCTGAAGACACACTGTGAACAGTGCTGAGGTGGGAGGGGCCATGTAAGTCCAGAAGAGGGAGGGAACATGACCTCTGGAATTGGAATTGGACAGGCTGGAATTGGGAGGTCTAGGCAGGTTTCACAGAGGATATGATGTCCAATATTAATGTCAAATGAGAAGTATGAGGTACTCTGGTAAAGGGTATGGGAGAGCAACAGGATAAAAGGCACAAAATCTTGATAAAATCAGATCAGTTCAGGTAATTATAAACAGTTTCAGCATGGCTGAAATATAATATATGGGAGCATAGGAGTGATATTCTCTAGAGAACCTGGTAGAAGACAAATCCTGCATATATTTTGGGGCCAGTTCATCCTGCTTCAACACCTTTTGCATGAACTCTCCTAATTATTAGGCAATGATGCCCAATATGACTTAGAACCTTGTCCACAGGACCCAGAAATTCTCCTTTTTTTCCAGCAGCCTCTTCTTACCTCTTCCAGCCTTTGTTGCCTTAAGATGGATTTGAGAACATATTGGTCCTTGGATAGCCAAAATAGGACAATGTCCAATGCCAAGAATGAATGGATGAGTCTTCAGAACTTTGCCTAGGAGGCCTGTGGGGCCCCGGGCAAGCACTGGACAGTACTGTAGCAACATGGCTGCTGCCATCATCTGCAGAAGATATGGAAGATATGACATTTCATCATGAGGGTTTGTCCAAAAGCCAAAGTTCATTCCTATGTTTTATATTTTGCCCTTAGTTTCCCACTCAAAGCTTGCTGCCCTCCTCAGAGATGTACTTAGTGTACTTCCAGGAAAAGAACTTCCTTTGAAAAGTTAAGATGTACCAAAGGTAAATCAGAGAGGATGAAATAATAACCTCATCACTAGAAAAAGGGTTGAATGAAAGACTTCTAACTGGAGGTTAGAAAGCCTAGCTTCTGACTCAGACTATGCTACTGACCTTCTGTGATGGTGAGGATTATTGAAGTGCACTTATGTATGGCAGGATGAGAGGTGACAATCTATCAGCCCTTTGATAAACACTTAAGGCCAAGAGTCTTTTTATGAGTATTGGCCTTAGCCAAGTGAGACTTTGCCCAGAGATTTTCCTCAGCAAGCTCATTCAGTGAGAGAGAAGGAACTTCGGGCTACAGATACCAAGAGATCCAGAGAACAGGAAGAAAGAACAGGCCTTAGGTCTTACAAGTAATGTGCCACTTAGCTAGTATTTTGCTATCTTTGAATTTGTATATGGCTTTTGGATATGCTCAGACAAAGAAGGAGGTATAAGCAAATCCCAAAGGAGTTAAAAGAAAAAGCACAAATATGTAGTCTATGGGTTAGTGAAAAAGGCAGAGACCAAGACATAGGAGAGAAAGCAAACAGAGAGAAGATAAGAAAAAGAGAAACCAAATGGCAAATTATGTGTGTAATAAACACTTGCTGAATTTATGAGTAAATTGATGAATGAACAGGGTCTTAAATGGGAGAAAGAGAAGTAGGGAAATAGAAGAAAAGGAAATTTAGAAATATAAAGGAAGAAAATAGAGAACAAATGTGGTAGTAGTGGCAGAGTTAAAAGAACACAAAGTCTGGGGAGGAAATTGATCAAAGCCAAAGGTAAAGGGTACAGAATAGCAGGGAGAACAGACATGGAGAGGAGAATTGATTTGGAAAGACAGAATAAGAGGATGATAGCAAATGCAGGAGGATAAAGAAAAAGACTTAGATGAGATGAGAAAAAGAAAAAATTAAGGGAGGGCTTCACACAGGGGTATAGGTAGATACAGACAGAGGGACAGAAAAAGGACACGAGGAGAGATGAAGGAGATTAGAGGAATAGACAATGACTCATAAAACTGAGAGGTGAAGAGGAGAGAATCCAGCAGGGGCAGAGAGTCAGTTAGACACAAAGATAAAAGAAGAAATGCTGCCAGAGATTGAGGAGGGTTAAGGAAAAAAAGCAAAAGATTTTGGGGAAAGGAGCATGACCCTATTGAGGAAGATGAGTGAGAGACTAAGGGACAGAAAGAAGAGAGTAGAGAAAATGACAAGATCAAAAGATGGAGACAGTGAGATGACTACAAGGGGAAATGAGAGTTGTGAAGAGGGAAGGCTGAGAGACACCTAGAGAAGGACAACTAGTGAGAACAAGAGGAAGAAACAGATTGAAAGAAAAAGGTAAAATTGAAAAGCCAGAGTCAAAAGTTTAGACAAGGTAAGGGACAGTACAATAAGAGAAATATGGGAGAATATTGGAGGACTAAGGCCTTAGCACTACCAAGAAAACTACTGAGTAGAATCTAACAGCACTCTCATAACTAAAGCCTTATATTGTGAAGGAAAGGCAAACAGGATGAGCTTATGGACCTGTCCTCACATGGCAACCTCCTTCACCTCCCTCTCTTCCTGAGCAAGCACCCTCCCTCTAATTCACAGAGTAATCTCTTCACCTTTTTCCATTTCAGAGCATCCTCCTACTCTCACAGGCTATCACAGTTGTCTGGCTTGGTATGTGGGGGCAGTGTGTGTAGGCCATGAAATTGGAAAAAAAATAAGGATTGTTCTTGAAACGACTAAATGAAATAATTCATGTTAAGCCTTTAGGGTGGTGCCTGGCAATATAGTACATGTTCAATAAATATTGACTTTTCTTGAAGAAATTCTTAAATTTCTATTTTTTTTTTTTAATTTTCAGCTCCCCAAACTCCCTTATTGAACACTCTTAACTTCCTCTCTCTGGTCTTGGCTTTCACTTGCAGTAAAATGTGAGGTAATTGTGGCTACCTCAAATGTAGAAAATGAATTGGATTCAGTGCCTACCTCATTTCTGAAGATAGGAGGAGTTTCTCTTCCCCTGCTTGTCTGTGCAGGTTAAAGCACTAAAGGCTAAGCCTGAAGACCATAGATAAAGTTCCGAGAGCTTATCGCTATTGCGATCTGACTACTCCCCAAGCTAAAACAAGGGTGTGGGAGAGAAGAGAAGCCCCTTCCTGGAATCACATCTGAGCATCTGGCTGGGGCTGTCCCTGGCTATTGGTGGTAAGGAGAGGTGGATGGCCCAGGGACAGGCAGTCAGGGCAGATGGCCAGATGCTTACAAACTCCTTTCCCCAACATCATTACTAACAACAATAATGACAACATTGGAGTATTAACTGGGAAGGCAAGCCCTCAAGACTGGAGGTCTTGAGATGATGTATTAAAGCCTATTCCTCATGTATAAAAGCAAAATAAGTTCAGTATACTCATCAACTCTAAAGTGCTTTTGGGTATGATATGCTCAGGGTTCTGGGAAAATACAGACCACTTCCTGGGATCTATTAAATTCTCAAGTTCTTTCAAGATCCAGTTCCCATATTTCTTCTGATACTTATTTCCTATAATTTACTCTGCTTCATTCTTCATGGCCATCATTATGATGGATGACCTTGTAGTCTAGTTACTTTGTTTCTATTCCATCTTACTACCTACCATAAAAGTGGACTAAGTACAATGAAATCAAGGAAGGATTTTAGGCAATTTAGGGCATTGAGAGCATAGGCTCTGGGGCTAGACTACTTGAATTTGAATCCTGGCTCCATCATTCATTATTGTTAGGACTTTAGAAAAGTCACTTCCCTGCTTATACTTTATATATTTAAGGATGATCTGCTTCATAAAATGCTGTGAAGATTCTGTAAAATAATCCAAAGTACAGTAGATCTGTAAGGTAACCACCCAAGGGACTGTAACAAATTTGTCAACTTATGAAGGTGGTCAACATAAAGATATAAGCCTTAGTACATGTGGTGCATGTATGGTCTATAAAAATTAGGTCAACTTAAGGAGGTGGCCAATGTAGGGAGATACTCAGCTATGGATGTTCCACTGTGTTTAGAAGCATACTTATTCTGGAATGAATACTGAAAAAGTGTTAGCTATTATTATTATTTTCTCCATTTTCTATGTAAGGAAAGTGAAGGTACAACTCATGCATATATAAGGCCAGGTTTGGAAAGCTAAGGACTAATCATGTCACAATTTACTATGTGAACATGGGCTCTATACTTCCCTTCTTTGGACCCTAGCTTCTCCACAGATGTTGGGCAAGATGATTTCATAGATACCATCTGATTCTGATGGTCACTCACAGAGCCCTTACTGTGCCAGGCCCTGTTGTAAACACTTCACATTCACTGACTTTGATAAGGATTAAGAAAGTCAAACTGAGACCCTAAAAGATTAAGTGACCTGTTCAGGTCATAGAGTGAGTAAGCAAGAGAAGCAGCATTTGAATCTAGGCAGTCTGGTTCCAGAAGACACTATGATCCATGATTCAAATATTACTACAAATTTTCTTGACTGAAGACCTGACTCACTAATATAGGCCCCTTCCCTAGAGATTTGCCTTTTGTGAGCAAAGGCCTTTACCAAAGGAACTGAATGGAATTTCATTTACTGTTGAACATTCATTCATTCATTCCAATATGTAACAACATATGCACCACTGTGTGATAAGGCTTGGTAGGAATCTTCTTAAAACAATGCTTTCAACCAAAGAGATAGTGAAGCATCAGGCCAAGTTACAGATCATTACTCAAAGGTTTTTTTAAAATCTCATGCAGCATCTAATCTATAGTCCCAGAGGTCAAAAGATCCAGTCACAACTCTACCCCAACAGAGAGCCAGAAACTACTCATCGCATCATTCCTTGCCCTCTCTCCTTTTGTGGCCTGCTTGGCAAGACTACTTAAGTCTGGAGGAGAAGTGATTAGTTCTCTTTAGGTGTTGGAAACATCAGATCTTACTTTCTATTCTAGCACCCTTTTCCCACCACTGAAGAATCAGGATTTTACATAACTTTAGTCAGAGAGTAATAAATTCATAGCAACAAAAAAAAA